CTCGCGGGGATCCCTCACCCCTGCCCTCTGTGCGGACACAGCGAAAGGGCGCTGCTTAGGACCCAGAAAGCGAGCCCTCGCCCAACACAGGATCTGCCGGAGCCATGATCCCGGATGCCCAGCCGCTAGACTGTGAGGAATAAACTGTTCGTAAGCCGCCCAGTCTGTGGTGTTTCCTTCTAGCAGCCTGAAAGGAGCAGGCCGTCCTTACATTTTGTCAGTTACCTCTCAGAACATCCCTCCAGCCTTTTCTCCAGCCACCCTCATGCTCACCCCTGGGTGGTTTCCGGTCTCCTGTCGGGGAGGAGAGGGGAGGGGACGCGTTGAGGGAGAGACACAGGAGCGCCTGCCACAGTGTCGGTGAGTTTTCATAGGTTTTTAAGAAGATCTGGGGCAAATAGCCCAAAAGCTTAAGGGTTATTGAGTCTGTGTGGTAGAACCCGATGTTCATTACGTTCTATTTTTTCCTGTGTTTGGACTATTTAACAATAAAAAGGCTTCACGTTTCTTGCCTGACTTTCTGGAGGCTTCTCTTCATTCCTGTCCTTCCTCTGGAATTTTGCTAAATACTTTAATCATAAATCTTATTCTGTCAGTTTTTTACTTGAAAACCCCATTATACTACTTCTCCATCTCGTACAGAATAAAAATCCAAATTTACTAGCTCAACACAACAGGCCATCGACACCTTATAACCGAGCCACGCTAGACGCCATAGCTCCCCACACAAGCACCTGAACGGCTCCAGAGCCTGCAGCCGCTGCCCGTGCCCAACTCACACGGCTGCCCTCCCCACCTGGGGCCGCACCCCTTCTCACAGCCCAGATCCAGCACGGGGAAGAGGCGCGCTTCCGCCGCGTCCCCAGCAGCGGCTGAGCCCGGCTTCCTTCGTGCAGGCTCTCAGGGACTATTGTTCCTGATGTTCATTGCTCTCACCACCGGAATTCGTTTCTGCGGATTCTTCTAGAAGACAGCTCCTCTGGGGCAGGGCCGGCCTCCTCTTCACTTCTGTGAGTCCCAGGCGGAGTGCAGTGTCCACACGTCAGGAGCCCGGAGGGTGCTGTGCACGTGGATCCGGGGGCCCTTCCCTCCGCGGGAAGTTTAGGAACCAGGGCAGACGGTATGTTAGGCAGTTTGGGTAACACACAGAATCGGTCATCAGGGACCCACTGTCAGAAGAGAATCGAGTCCAAAGAAACGGCAGGGTGGAGGTTTCAAATGTCCGAAGGCAGTCCGTGAGGGAGGCTCCCAGCCGGCATGCCGCTGGCTGCAGGCAACACAGTGGACGTGGTGGCTCGCAGCCCAGACCCGCACCTGAGGGTTGAGTCTCCCGGGCCTCCAGCTGCTGGGTGAGGCAGCCAGGGCCTCTCAGCTGAGTCGCTCTCTGGAAATTGCCCTCCATCAAAGAAAGCCCTCCCATTCACGACCCTTCTGAGAAAAGGAGCAGAGGGTTACGGGGTGGGGCATTTTACTGACTAAACCAGGGGTGGGCAAACTTTTTGACTCGAGGGCCACAATGGGTTCTTAAACTGGACCGGAGGGCCGGAACAAAAACATGGATGGAGTGTTTGTGTGAACTAATATAAATTCAAAGTAAACATCATTACATAAAAGGGTACGGTCTTTTTTTTTTTTAGTTTTATTCATTTCAAACAGGCCGGATCCGGCCCTCGGGCCGTAGTTTGCCCACGGCTGGACTAAACGGATTAACTGTGCGCTCTGCAGCCGCTTTAAGGAAATAAGGGGTTTGCATTGACTGACACACCTGCGGTGAAGGCTGGGTCAGACTTCCTTCCTGGAGTTTGATGGGACACCACTGGGCAGCGTCGCTGTCCGCGGTGCTGAAACGCCTTTTCTCAGAGTAGCTGACAGCAGAATGAATGTTCCCACGGTCTTCGTTGTGAGAGCTGTATGAGTTTCAGAACTCCTTCCACTCACATCTTATGTCATTCCTGAGCGGTTTGTAAACTTTGTAGGGAAGGCGGTTCCCTCGTCTACATTTTATAAACTGGACATTTTTGGCTTGAATAAAAAAAGCTCTACTTCTATTAGAATTCCTGTCATTCTGACAGATGTCTCTGAAACTGAATATTTTTATACATATAAAACAGTTGATTGTAGAGAGTTTTGGAAATACAGACAAAGAAGAAGGTAAGAATGCTTTTATTTTTATTTTAAAAACCCACATCCAGACAGAACTACTATTAACCTTTTGATAACTGTTCTTTGATGGAGATAGGTAAATGGATGGGGAGAACTACATGATCAGATACTGTTCATAATGTTTTACAGCAATAATGTTTATTTAGAAAGTAGGTATCTTTTTATGTTAAAAAATATACTTTACAACATTTCAAAATAGGGAAATAGTATATAATTGGGTTTGTACCATGATTTCTGACCTTTTTGTTGGGTATTTAGATAATTCCTATTATCTCTGTGATTATAAATGATTCTATAATAAGAACTCGTGCAGCTAAATGTTTATGCATATTATTTATTTCTTCAAAAAAGTGCTGGGATTGGAATTGCTGGTCACATAATTTAAAGTCTTATGATCCGTGTTGCTAAGTAGTCCAATTTGAGCAACAATCAGCAGCTCATTTTCTCTGTAGTCATACACTCTGAGTGTCAGTTTTAAAAAATTTGTGGGTGAAAATGGCATTCTTCTGTTTTAATTTGCATTTCTCATATTACTAGCAACGTTGGATATTTTTTCAAGACTTTTTGGCGATCGACTCTTTCTTTGCTTAGCTTCCGTCGTGCAGCCTTTGCCTCCTTTCCCATTTGACAGGCCGGAGTCTGGGTCTTTTGACTCTAAACGCAGTGCTCGTTCCCCGAGCCACAGGGCACAGCCGTCATGCGTGTGCTCAGGGCCGGTCCTGGGTGGTAATGTGGTCTCGCCTTCTAGGCGCTTCCCCTCGGGCTCCCGGGCTGTCCCAGTTCCAGCTGTGACGACCCCGAGCCTCTCTGTTGCTTCATTACTGTTGCAGGTGATCGCTCAGTTCTTACCCGCGTCCTGAGAGGCAGACAGGCAAGCCCTGGTGTCTGCACGGCAGGGATCGCAAACTGAGTGGAGGCAGGCCTCGAACCAGGACCTCCTAGGAGTCTAGTGGGACAGGGGTCTGGTGGGCTAATCACACGGATGCGTCACGACTCATAATGCGGTTTCTTTTCCAGGTTATTTGCATGTAACTAGAGGAGCCTGAAGCAATCACTACTGAGTGTGCCCTTCCTCTCAGGCCAGGGGGAGGGCAGTTGTCGGGTCTGGAGCCTGCCCCCCCCTCCCCCCCGCCTTAGATCACCCTGTGTGGACATCCACCTACTTCATCTATGCCTGGTCCCGGCACTTCCGTCTCCACGTGGGCTGGTGTGGAATACCAACTCTGACAGTCTGACCACGCACGATATAATGCCCCAAACACAGAGAAAATAATCTCTCTCTCTCTCTCTCTAATTGTTTTTGTGAATCCAAAAATAAAAGGCCTTTCAGAGTGAGAGGCAGCGAGCATTTACATGGGATTAAAAAATAGCTATTTGGGAAGCTCTGATCCAGGCAGAAGCCCAAATCGTGTTGCGATGAGGAGACCAGGGCAGGAGGCGTTTAGGAGCGGGAGGGGCACGAGACCTGGGAAGGAAGGCGTGTCTGCAGCTGCACCGACACCTGCAGTTAATACAGCCTCAGGGTCGCCAACTCCGTAATGGGCACGTGCACAGACACTGGGCCTCCTCGCTGCGCT